TGTGTGTGTGTGTGTGTGTAGAGCTTTCCTGCAGAGGCAATAATTTTGTGCGGAGCTCAGCCTGTTTCTTTAATCAAACTGTAATACATCTTTAGGTTTAATTAACATTGATGAGCAGAAGGTTGGTGGTTCCAGAGTCATTTAAAGCTGCTTCGTTCAGAAGACATATTAAAGCAATCTGTCACATGAGTGTGTGATCAGCAAGTGGACGTAGAGCCAGCCGTTCATTTTGACTGAGGTTGTGCCTGCTCATATCTGTGTTTTTATGGTTAGTCGTTAAGAAGTACACAAATCCTTAAATACCACACAGTGTGTGTAAAATGTTGAATAAAGTATCAAAGTAAAAGTACTGCTTATGCAGATTCCCTCTTATTCTTTTGTTTCATTATTAGATGGCTTATAATTACCTCCACCAAAGAACTTGTGTTTTTATTAGTTGGTAGGATCCGAGGAAGCATTTTGCAGTGTGAGCGTTAAAATCCACAAACTAACAAGTAGCAGCTCTCAAATAAATTAAGTTGAGTAAAAACTTTGCTTCCTTACAAAGATATAGAAAAAGGCAGGAAATAGAAAAGAATAAGTAAAGAACAGGTCTCTGGAAGATGTTCTGAGGCAGAGCACTTGAGCAAAGGTATTTGGGCACTTTCCACCACTGTGATTAATTTACATACTCAACGTTTCCCCACCAATCCCATGGATTAGATGTAGACTGTATCTCCTGAACAATAAGTCATGTGATGCCAGAAATCAGCTCTACAGTCAAATGATCTGCATGCCATGATTTCAAAACTGCACCTGAGCAATTTCAGTGCAATCGAAGTAAACTCTCACCAGCGAGCTCTTTGTTTGTTTTGGATGACGCACTTTGGGCGAGTAACCCTGGTACCTTATGTCACGTAGATTTAAAAGAAGCAGCGGTTTCAGTGAAATACCTAATCCTCGCTTTGATGAGTGTGCAGTGATGGAAAAGGACACCGCTGAAGGCTCGGTGGGAGCCTGCCGTGTCACATCCTCGAGGGATTGCGAGCGTCTCAAACACACTGAATTTCACACTGAATTAGCCAGACCAGCTGGTACAGGGAGATATTGATTTTCCAATACAGCAGAGAAGAGGGGGAAAGGGAACGTAGAACCCAGACAAGAGAGGGGAAGAGAGGAAGGACAGAAATGCTGGGACCTGGCCACTGAAACGTTAACACAATCCTCCACAGCTTTTTGTTCCTGTTCATATTTGGAAGCATTTAATACCACTATTAGCCTTTCACACACTGTCAGCATCTTAGTCAACTTTGCAAAGCTCTGGTCAATCCACATCCCATTTATAACCCTTGTGTTTCTGCCTCTGCTGGTCTGAACAGGGATTTATCCTCTTTTAACAAGATGGGGGCTTTGAGGCTAAGCATATTACCAGGACTGAAACGCTATGCCAGACAATTATAGCATCCAGATGCTATAAACTTCTGCTGACACGATGCATTCTGGCTTAATCTCTGCCCTACTGAGGACTTGTGCTATTCCTGTACATTTTCAAAACAAATACACAAAATCTTAAAAAGTTAAAACACTTTGTAGAAAATATTTTTAAGAAATAATTTAATAATAATAAGCACTAATGAGAGTTATGATAAAACATGATAACAACTAGAATTACCATGTCGCGGTTGTATGTCTCTGCCAACCAAAGTTGCAGTTTACATTTTAATGGATGTTGTTGTTTTGTCCCATGTTGTTTATTCCCATGTGTTTTAAAAGCATTTTCTAACCTTGGTTTGATAAGTGTTAAAGAAATAAATTACATTATTGTGTTAGATTTTATATCCATGTCTGTCCAGACTCATTTAGCATATGTCCGACAGCTCTAGTAAAACTTGGCGTTACCATTTTCTTGCGTGGATATAAAGTGAAATTGTTCGCTTCATAAAAGATGAATAATGCACGGTAATTGATGTTACTGTAAGTCAATCTGAAATGTTCCTACCTTGCCGTTACAGGGCTGCTGGGAGAGCTCAGACGAGCACCAGAGGTGGGTCGCCAGCTTACAGGCTTTACAGCGCAGGCCCTGCTTGGAGTTTCCTGCAAAGACACACAACGTTCACTTTAACACACAGACCTCTTTGTAGACAAGACTGACAGCTGTCAGATTAAAAACCACTGAGATATCATTGGTAAGACTAGTGGCAATGGAAGGAAATAAAGTTATCGAGTTATCTGGCTAGTTTGGTTTCATCTATTATACAATTTGTGAGCTCAATATTTTTAATTATTCATATTCTAAACATACCACGGCTGCATCCTTTCCACAAATGCATGTTTTATTTTCATTATCTGGGCGAGTCCAGGCGATATGGGTTAACTGACCTACCTTGGATCATGTGTTTGCATCGCTGGCAGCTGGTAGGCCTACGGAAGACATGCTCCTGGAAACAGTGCGTCTTGACTGGCTGCACAGGCTGGGCCTGAGTCTTTGGCTGGGTTTTGGAGGTGACGGACAGCGAGGGACTGATTGAAGGTGAGTGAGACGTTAATGAAGGGTTGGGACTGACCGACGGGGACAGGGAGGGGGAGTGCTCATAGGCCGGGGGGCACTCGGAGAAGGGTGGAGGAGATTGCGGAGGTGGTGGTGCGGTGATGAGGGCAGAGGGTAGGCGCATTTCGCCATTGCTGCGCTGGAAAAAGTTGTCCACGCTCTTACTGCGCATGACAGACTTGAAGGACAGGGAACGCTTCAGCCGCTGCAACTGGAAGAAAACACAAAGATGATATTTAGGTGAAGTTCCAGAATGACATGACAATGATACTTACTTATGATACGAATGACAAAAAGGAGTCGAGCTTGAAACCAGTCTGCTTGAAACCAGTCTGCTCGTCTACCCTCTGACTGTCCTTGCCCTGGAAGCTGACTTTTGATCTTCCATCTTCAGCTGTTCTCCCCTCTATTCCTTAGATGTGCACAAGTCAATACCCCTTAAAATTCACATTTGATTACTTTTATTGAGCGACCTGCACCTTGGAGCTTGATGCAGTCAGTGATGCATGGCGAACACCGTGTTTATCTTTGACTCTGCCGGCCTCCATTTCCCCACACGCTTGCCAACCAGGGGCCACAATAAAGAGGGGACGGATAATGACAAACAATTACAGGGACTCGGGAGCGGAGTATATATACTATATGGAAATAGTAACTGCTGTAGACTCACACATGCACACACACACACACACGAGAGAGAATGGTGTGGAGAATGAGGGCAAGGATGTAATAAGTCCCTTAGACTCAGACTGAGCCCCTCCTCAATTTACACAGAGCTCATTAGCCGTCTATGTTTCTGACTGGGTTGAGGATATTGTCCTGCCTCAAACTTCAAAAGTGAACTAATTTCCATTTAATTCTGATTTAACAGTGTTTCTGTTCCTCACATGTTTTATTTTGTGGCATGAATATTGCTGCTTTTGGCGACGTAGTAAAAACTAATGTTAGTTTGCAAGAAAAACCTATTGTGAAAATGTATATTACTATTTTACGTGCGTTTACGTGCAAGACTGTAGAATCCTCATCATGTCTATTGCACCTCTGAGCTTTGAGAGCCACTGGCTATCTGCTCTCCTGTGCAGAAAACCTGATCAATAGCATCGAGCAGGTTCCTCTTTTTCTTCTTTAAGCCGCAGATTCACACATGCCAATTAGTCTGAGTGATGAAAAGAGTTGTCTCTGTCGACCCATTAGTGAGTGCCTCTCATAAATGTTTTCTACAGGGAGCTGAGTCCATGCTTTCCTTAATGGCCTTTTCTTGGCTCGACCGGTGGCCCATCCAGTAATGGATGTTCCTCTCTATTAGATTGTTTAACTTGTCTGACTTTGTTAATCTTCTCTGCGGTGGAGGCCTGCATCTGCTCTGGGTCCAAGGGAAAAGGAACAATTTCTTCAGGCACAAACTAGGCAACACATGACTGATAATCCATAAGTTAATACAGCACCCTGAGCTTTTACAACCCTTAAAGAAACAAAAGAAATAAACAGTGATTTAGTTTAATTAATTAAAGTCAATGTGAAAACAAAACTATTACAGTTTGAAGCCAAATGTGTTTTGTAAGTCGCTTTAGCTATAATTGGGCATTACTACTCGACAGCTTAGTTTTGCTTGAGTGCATGAAAAAAAAAGAGAAATCCAAGAGCAGAATTGATGTTGGAGCGCAGGAAAGACGTCCGAGCAACAAAAGATCACACAGTTTGAGCACAAGCAGAGCATATGGAAGCACGAGGAGGGGTTAGCTGAGTGCGAGCGCAGGAATTTGAGTGAGAGCATTACAAAGGCTCAACATGAAATCAATAAGTCAAAATAACCAAAATAATAAGCCCCGCTCTCACACTAAAACACAGCACTTTCTTGGGGGAGAAAAAAAAAAACATAACGTAAGTGCTAAATTAATCCATTCATTCATATTTGATTAATTAAAATTGCACATTTCAATTAATAAAACAAAAATAAAATTAGAGCTGCCCAACGGTCTGACATTTTGGAGCTACATGGCATCACAAACCACCATCCAGATTATCTCCTGGTTTATGTGGTTGCTCTTATTCATTATGTGCGTCTCTGTGTTATAATGTGTGTTTGATTAAAACTGCTAGTTTGCTGTTTGATACCGTGTTGTCATATATCCCGTAACACCCTCCCCTGAAAACAGAGCAGAGGAGACTCTAATGAATGCAAATCTCTTATATTTCTCTGTAGCGCTCTCTCTAAGGTTTTGAAAAGTCTATTTATGGATCACAGAACTGCAGACCCATCACACTCTGAACTACTGACAGCAATTAGCTCATCGCAGTGTGAGTGGTGTCGTCTACTAGAGCGGGCTGTGGTTTGAAGAAGTAAAAATGAAAGTATTGGAGCAGTCAAAGAAAGTGAGGGGAAAATTGATCAAAACTAAATGAACAAAGATGTGAGAAAGAACAAAACTAAAGTGGAGATACATTAAAAAATAGCACGCCAACACTTTCAACCCCCCCTCGCCTTCGAAAGCCCTATATTGTACCGGGGCATTTCCAGTTCACCCCTCTGACAGACACAGAGGCAGAGCCGGACTTCTTTTCCAGCTGTTTGAAAATGAGCATGCAGAGATGTTTGGCAGAGGCTTCTATAAATAGGCTATTGTGCGAACTGCATGGATACATTAATGATTGAGAAGTGGGGGTGGGTGTTTATGGTGTTCACACTAGATGCCTGTGAAAGGCAAAAAGTCCCCCAGCTGCCACTACGACGCAGCTGCATCTCCCCGTGTTTCTACGAGGTGTCGCAGGACAGCAACGCCAAGTAAAGTCTAATCTCTCTGCTAATGGTTCTTCATCTCCTCAGAAAAGAAACATCTACTTTCTAAAAGAGAACACAAGGTATACCTTTTTTTTTATTATTTTAGAGACGATTCATTTAGTTTGAATTCTGTCAATAAATGGAAACAACAGTGAACCTGTCACTATTCGTCTCCTGGCACTTTCTGCTGCCATGCGGTTGGCATGTCTCATCTTGGTCAGGAAACCAATCCAAGGTGAGCTGGGTGCAGTTACATAAAAATCATAAAAATATAGTGAAGTGCTTACATCAGATTGGACCTGAAATGCTTATTTTCTCCTTTGTGTTGCTATGCACAATCAACACACAGCACTATGTTGTACGTTGCAAACTGTACAGCAGTGTATTGATTGATGACGTGAGCAGGTATCTGCTTTCTACCCATTATAACAACATCTGGTCCCAGATCCTGGATGATCTCCTCCCTCTCTGCAGAAGCTTTCGGGACACAGTTGAGCGACCCCAGTGTCTGCCAACTCTTAAACACGACACGCCCACTGCAGAGTTTTTCTCAGGGACTCTCTGGCTGCTGGTGCTATTCAAGCTTCTACTCACACTGGAAACTGAAGAATTCTTCTTGCAGCAAACTGAGTGTTCAATTAAAGGTGACCTCATTAGCCACTGCTCAAGATGGTAAAAGTCCTCAATGCACAAGCTCCATTGCAGGTGATAGAGATTGGAACAAACCGACAACTTCCCAGAACAGAGTGAAAAAGACATCTTAACTTTAGTTTGTCCATTTAGAAAATGGATTATTTCCTGCATCTACCTGGATGATTCTGAGACACTAACAGTCCTCTGACTCTGAGCAGCACTTGAAGTGAAGATGTTACTATTGTTAGTGAAGTCATTTCATGTGAAAAATAACATTAAAACAGATATTCAGATGGAATGACGTTCACTTAGATGAATAACAAAGGAGACACATCCTGCCTTTTCCCTTTCCTCCAGTGTTTTACAACGTTTTTCTGTGTATGTCAACGTTCTGCAAAGGTAAAAGGTCCAAAGACTGAGGTAAAGGGAGCTCCCCTCCCCCACTGAAATCTCTGCTCCTGAAACGCCTCGTCAGCAGTCCCACCAATATTCCTGGGGATTCGAGATGTCACACGACACAGTTGCCTATGCTCGGCTAGCAGCTACTTTGACATGCCAACAGGAGGAGCTGCAATGGACGGTATGAAGAAAATAATTATAAGAAGAAGAATATGTCCTTTTTAAGCATGTAACGTCTGTCTGGGAGTCAAACCCTTGGACCCTCTGCTACCCTAACCATACAGCGATCACATTCCCTGCATGTGATTCTTTACAGACTGCAAAAAACATTCTACAAGTTACAGATAAAGAAAACTACAAATATAGAGAGTAGAGGACAAGCTAAAGTGAGGCTTGTACTTTAAGGATTGTGCAGATGAGAAGGAGAACCTCAGGTGTCCCTCTGTCTTCTCTACACTGCATATTAATATACTGCGTGATAAACAAGGTGTGAATATGATTGTCTTTCAGAGATATGGCTGTTGTTTAAAGGGCTGTTTCTGTTTCTGAAGACACACAAGCCTCTGGGTAACAAGACTCTCGCACCAGCTCACACGTCGTCTGACAGACTGTGCAGCAAAAGGAGCTTGCATTTCCAAATCCAGCCTTTTAAAAGGTTTAACTGCACAAGGAGCTTTTGCCGCAAACAAGAGGCAACTGCCACAACGGCTGCTTGATGTTCAAAAAATGGTGGAAGCTCAACGACAATGTGGTCGGCGTTGAGTGATAGATGATCATTAACACCCAGTAAGGCTAGAGTCAACAAACAGAGACACAAAATAATGACTTTCTAGATAAAATACTATGAGTGACGAAGCGAGAAGATTGTATTAGTCTTTAAAGCTCTTCATGGTCTTCCACCAGCACGCATCTCATCTCTCACACACATCTCTTGCAGGGTATGAACCAGTGAAGTGCTTTAGGTCTTCTGTTGTCTTCTGCTGTTCCAAACAGCTGGAACACTTTACCTGAGGACCTGAGAGCAGCGAGAAGTGCTCAAATCTTTAAATGCAAACTTGAAACCTCTCTCTTTCGCCTGGCTTTCGGGCAATATATTATTGCATCTATGTTATATATTTTAGTCGATTTTATTCAATTGATCTACCCTTTAATATTTGTTATTTTAGTTTTATTTCTTCTAATTAGTTATTTATTGTTATCACTAGCTTTTAAAATCTATTTCGTGGTATTTATCTAACCCTTTTTTATTTGGTCTCTCTTATTATTGATTCACCGGTCAATCGTGAAGCATTACTGAGCCGTGTTAAATGTGCTTTATGACTAAAATTGACTGACTGATTGAGCCGTGACTTATTGTATATCATGACTTAACATGGTTTAGTGTATGCTTTTGTCACACA